AGTCAAACACCCATGTATCAAGTCACCCACCCACCAAGTAGAACATGTCTCAGGCGACCCTGACACGCCTCCAGTGCACCCTATGGCGCCTGAGGTCGCACATGTCACGCACTTTGAGGCACTGTATATTCACCTTCGCTCATTTCGCCTTTTTCGCTTATGTCGCATTTTTCACTCTCATTGAGTTTTTCATCAGTTGCTAATGCTTCGCCTTTGCCTTCATTTAAGCTTACCATCATTCCCTCACTCAGGCGCCACAGTCGCGCGCCTCACGCCTTAATTCACGCGCCTAAGGCGCCCATCATTACATCAAAGTTTTCCCTCCATCGCATTTTTACCACTTTATCATTTTTAAATTGCATTCCTCACATTCATCATGACCCATACTTCAATCAGCCATTCAGGCGCGACTTAGGCGCGCGCCTGACACACATACATCCGCCTACATCATCCATCATTACATTTAACATTGCACCATCTGTCCTTATTCACATTTTTCGCATTTTTCGCTTATCGCATCCATAACATCCTTTCATTTTATATCAAGTACCATTCATTCATAATCAGGCGCCTATGTCGCCTTGATATATCATTCATACTCATCATTCGCGTCACATTCACGCCTAATTTCACTGCACATAGATCACTCACTAACGCATTTTCGCTATTTCAGCCTATCCTCGCGCATACAGAGGATATAATCATTTTCGTGCCTAAATGCGCTAACGCGCCAGCATCGCCTATCGCCTATCGTGCTGTAGCGCCTTTCAACCACTGTCGCCTCGCCTCGCCTTGGCGCGCGCCTAATAGGCGCCACCAAGTGCAAGAGTTCATCCCACCAGTCACTAGTCCGCCACTATCGGCGAGTTTGAAGAAGATTGGTTTATACCTGGTTGAAAAAGTTGTTGCAAAGTCTTGAAGATGAAGAGTACACCATTCCCTGTCGCTTAACACTGTCGCCTCACGCGCTTTCGCCTCGCGCCTCATCCGCTTCAACCGCTTCAACCATCATTTTCGCGAAAAATCACCATATACCGTGTTTTTCATAGCATATAGTTTGTTTTACCCTGGTTTTTGTCCAGCGCTTTTCTCCTTTCATTTTTCTCATCATTACATCGCCTCAAACACTAATAAAAACACTGACATATATACTCATAGATCCGCTTAGCAGAAAACAACAAAAACAACAAAACAACTATAGACTCGTGCCCACCTAACCCAGTAGGATATTATTTTCGCTTCTAACGCATGCTGTGGCACCATGCACATTTACCTTTGAATAGTCCCCTATAGCGCCTCGTTCTCGCGCCTTTCGCCTTATTCCCGCGCCTTAGGCGCCTCACGCGCGCGCTTTTTGCGCTTAGCGCGATAGGAGGACATAGATGTTGATAGTTGCATGAAGAAGACAAGACGGACAGGACATCCGCAAAAGTTCACCATTTCATTTTCGCTTTTTCACCTATAGTTTTACTCATATCATTCAATCCCATAGCACCTAATTTTTAGCGCGCATAGTGGGACTTGGTTTGGACATGGGATGGACCGCTTTCACAACACACAGTTTCGCCTTCTACGCCTTGGAGATCATTGGACATTCGCCCCTTCACATTCCCTGCATAACGTGACGCATACGCGACATCCGCGATATACGCGCTTATCACGCACATCCGTGCACCTCAGGCGCCTAAAGCGCGAATGTTCCCGCGCCTTACACAGCACATTCGCGCCATACTTGCATCATCAGCTGTCGATTGCCATCATGAGTTTACACCCTTACATCGTCTTGAAGTCACGCTATCGCTTGAATACCGCATTCACGCACTTCCGCTTTGCACGCGCGAATGTTCCAGCGCTTCGCGCGCCTATGTCGCCTTGTTCACGCGCCATAGACATGTCACTCTCGCCTCACTGCAATCATTCTCCATACCATTCAGCCAGTTGCTATCATTGCATCCCCGCGCTTACACTGTGTTTGCATACACCAGAGTCACTTCGCGCATTCCGCTGTTCTACCGCGCTTTCACGCCCCTATGACGCCTTACGCCTGCGCCTTTCCCGCGCTTAGCGCGCCATAGTTACACCAGTTTTACTTCATCACATTCACCTCAGCCACACTCGCATAACACTCCTCTCTCATCACATACCTCCATTGCAACTTCGCTTGAGTTCACCACTTGATGCACTGACTGGGGACACTCAGAATTTAAGCCCCCAGGAGATGTAGAGACTCGATCCTGGGTAGCCTCACAATGGCACATATTGCAACATAGGTCGAGTCTACAGTATCATGCATGTAACACGACACTTGTGCGATAAACGCGACGTTCGCGCGACGCGCGCGACTTAGGCGACACTTCCGCGACATAGGCAACACTTGCACGACTTGCGCGACTTGCGCGCACTTTAGGCGAATTTTCCCGCGCCTAAGCGCTATAGGGCGCCTGACTTCCCACTGTGTTTTCCCATGTCCAACCAAGTTCCCAGGTATGCATTTCTCCATTTATCATTTATTTCAACATCGTACCATGTTTATTTTCACTTGGTACACATTTTTCATTACACATTTTTTTACTTTACAGAACACACATTACCACGGACCACCATCATCATAGACAGTCACCATCTCCGAGTTTTTATTATGTTTTGAATAAATCATCGCAAGCCTTAGTAGCAGTTAGCTCTAGTGGCCATATCCGCATCAGTTGTCTTATCAGCATCTCAGTACACGTCTTAACATCTCACTATCGCTCGCATACCGCTTTCACCCAGTTCCGCTTTTCGACGCGCGACTTTCCCGCGCTTCGCGCGCCTATAGCGCCTTTGTTCCCGCGCTTTCGCCTTATCACGCGCTTTGCGCATTCCCCCTAGAGTTGACCAGTGGATATTTGCTTTCTCCGCTTCCCCTAAGGGACGAACATATCGCACTCATATTTTCCTCCCTTCAACAATTATATCAGCTGCACCCTCAGCTGAGTTGAAGATCCTTCAACGTGCCCATCATGTCCTGAGGCCACAACACTCACCAAGTAATATTCTCCCTTAGCGCCCTCTGAAATTTGTCTGGCACCCTTATGCACCGATTCTGCTGCTTATGTCTCCTGCCACTGAGCTAGAAATTCCTCTCCCCGCCAACAGCAGCAACAATGGCAATGAAGACAAACAGAAGAAGGCGTTGTTGAGAGCCCTATTAGTTAATGGATTATGGTCATAGTGTATTTGTAATTCGTATATTAGTTTTCAATTTTGATTCAATCATCGGAATTTTATCAGAGCAGTTGAAACCACATTGAAGTTTGGTAGAAATAATATAATATTATGGGAAGATAGCTTAGTGATTGGAACCGTCTTTGAACACCTTGTAATGTATAGAGTCTTGGCATTTTTGCGTTGCCTTGGAAGGCACATACAAGACCAAATTGGTCACTGCCAACCGGCTTGTGGCAATTTCGGGTGCTCTTGGAAGTTAGTCGTAATGCCACCGGCGAATTGAGGCCTTTCAATCCATTTTAAGGCATGGCAACCCAAAATAGATATTTCCGACAACTCTACAGTACTGGACAATCCCGGCAGCTCAGACACTTGAAAGATGATCTCCAAAGAATATAGAGCAGTGCAGATCTACAAAAATATCAATCCTCTCGACTTGCCGCCTCTTCAATTAAGCAAATCTAATGGAACCTGTGCTGTTGTGTCCCCCGAAGATGTGATTATCAAGAGAGTTGGCACGAGTCTCCAGTGCATGTTAAAGCATGAATACAGTGATGTTTACAATGGGGTGACCCCATCATAAACATCACCATACAAGTTGCTGCAAAACTCATGAAGGAGAGAAATCTGTGCTTGGCTGGTTTGACGCCACAAGAGGCTCTGCAGTCAATGAGGGTTGAGCTCAAGGAGTATTGCAAAGGCACAGATCCTTTCATCTGCAAGCCTCGTAAAAACGAGAATGTTTGGGATTGGTGGCTAGCGGCTGTCCAGAAAGATGAAAACATGCAGGTTCTTGAGGTGATAAAGTCACTTACTCAATTGGTTCATTTCACTCAACTCTTGTTCTTGTGTCAGGCTCTTGCGATCAAGTTATATTCTGTGGTACCGGTGTCAATGGCTGATGAGAGGACTGTGTCAACCATAATGTGGCTCACTAGTCCTACTCGGAGCAGACAAGACATTGCAACATTAAAAGAAACCAATCAAATTCGCCAGTGGCACCGCTGGAAACCTGATGTAAGTTACCTTTGCTCATTCGGACTATTGAAAGACTGACGTACATCCAATTCAGTCAGCGGCATCAAAAACGGCTCCTTTGGTTAAATGGCGTGATATGCATGCAACCATCATTGGTGATCAATAACCTGAGAAGCTAATGGTCATTCCACCACCTGCCCGATCACCTATGACAAGAGATGTCGCAATTCCAAGCTGACAGCTGATGCTGCGACTTCATTGACGACACCAATGGATGACGAGTGGCAGATATGGGAGTCTGCAGAGTAGATTACAGTCAATTAGGTGAAATTCACCTGCAAATTAACACAAATTAGTGTCAAAAAGCAGAGCCCCCGAACCCCTGTCAGTAAATTTGTGTGAATTTCATGTCATTCACACCTGTAAATTTGGCCCTCTGCGAGGGCCATGCTAATTTGCCCATCAAGCAGACGCCATACCCTAATTCCTGGAACCCTAACGTGCATGTTTACATTCAGTTTCTCTTTGTGCTGCTTCAACTGAGATCATGCCATCCGACTGGAACATACAGCCATCAGCACTCCCTTCGAAAACATAAAACGGAACTAGACATACAATGAGCTTATCCTCATACAACTTCAAGACAGGACTCCTGGTATGAATTTTTTTCGTACATAAGCGGCTGCATGAATGCTGGTTCATCAAGCTCATTTAATTATTTAATTATTAAAAATAGGTACATTCAAAATTGGGCGCACACGCACATAACCCCTCGCACAACACACCCCTTCTAAAAATGGTAGTCTTAGATAACTGTCGGACTTCAAACAAAACCTTCTGGCATGGCCAGCCCAGGAATCACCTAGGACAAAGCCAATGCCCCAAGAGGCGGATGCATCAACAAAGATGGGAGTTGGCAAGGGAGCAGGAGGAGCCATGATGAGCATGCCACAGAAGGGCCGAGCTAACTGATCACGCCACCAGGCAATGTCCATGAGGACCTCTGCAGGGATGGAATGGGTAGCAAGAGAGTGGGCATTTGGACGGAAGCGGCTGGAGAAGTGATAGAGGGAAGGGAGATGTGTGTGGCTGGAGGTGAGGATGACCGAGCAGTGATTAAGGGTCCCAACCACTACTTCGACGTCCCTTCTTGAGATCCTGGCACCCCTGACCCAGATGGCGAGGCAAGCCAGGTATTTAACCTTCTTGCCCTCAGGAAGCTGCACAGATCGGCCAGGGATGTCCCAGTTGAAACCCAGGTAGGGGAATGCAGAGGCGAAATCACGGTGTGGGTACAACAACTCTGCTAAGGTGCAATGCAGAGCAAATGAAAGAAATAATAATGCTCTAAGCTCTGGGTGGGAGATAGAGCTATACTCTCTCTAAGTGTTGGTCGAGGTGTGATGCGAATTGTTTGACCCAGGGAAGCAGATGGCAGCAGAGAAATGATCCAAAGCACACTAAATGAGCGCCTAAGGGGGCGCCTAAGTGCACAAAGCGCTGGGGAAGCGGCTCTCAATGCAAGACAATGTCTATAGGAAGTGGAATAATGATTGTGGCTCTAAAGTGCGGCTCTATACTGGTGCTCAGTGGTAGTAGATGGGTGGTAGTAGGTAACAGAAGAGAAGTAAGTAATGCCTCCTTGGCTCAACACAAAATGAACCATAGTGAGGTAAAGCACTATGTAATAGCTACTGGGACCATGAGAAATGGTGCCATACAATGTAGGTAATAATAAAAGGTACATGAAATAGTAAAAATAGCAAACTAATGTGTACCTGTGGGCTGGATGGACAGTGGATGGATACTCCAGGATGATGGGCGACGCAGGGTGCTTAAGCGCGAGAAAGCGTGCAAGGCGTGCGCGGGGGAATGCTGCGGCTAGTGCGGGAGAGTAGTGCACTTATGGTACACTTCATGGGAAAGTGGGGCGCTCTATAGGGAATGGGTAGATATGATGATGGTGCAAGCCTGGCAGTGATGCCCAGATGTCCTGAGTCGTGGTATAGGCCATATGCAGCTGTAGGGGCATGAGCCTCGACAGCAGAACTTGGGAACAGACCAAGGCCACCCCAGATAGTCTGCTGTGGACCAGATGATGGAGGCATCCATGGTGAAGGTGAAAGAGCCGTCTGGGTTTAAGTGAGTGGGGGTAGCGAAAAAAAACAGGAAGTCGTCAGCCCATTTTAGGATGTCCTTGAATGATTTGAAATGGAAGATGGCAATGATGCCGTCTGTGGAGCGGCCAAATATACCTGACGAGCTGGAGGCACCAAAGCAGGTGTTGTGGTCAATGTGGACTTGCCCATCCCAGGAAATGGTGACGTGAAGACGGTCTTCCAGGGCAATAGGCATCCGGAACAGTGGCCTCTGTGCCCAGAGATGTGTTTGTGACAAGGAGGAAGCATTGGGCAAAAGTGCCCCAGTCACAAGAGAAGGCGGAGGAGTCAATCTCCAAGTTGATGGACCTCAGGTCAGGGTGATTACGGGGAAATGAGTGGTCCTGAATAAGGTGCAATTTGCCAGAATTGGGATTGAAGACCACACCAAGTGGCGAGGAGCGGAAAGGGCCAAAGAGCTGTTCAAAAAGGGCCGGGTCATATGGGTCAGAGTATCTACCAGCAACTTCATTCAAGATGTGGGTATTGATAATGTTGGGGTGCTCTAGGGCAGACCGATGATTGGGGGGCAAGAAAGTAGAGGTAAGAGATGATGAGACACCAAGATGAAAACCATCGCGGATGCCAGCAACCACATCAGAGTAAGACTCAAGAACACCTGCTTCACGGACCAGACCCTCCCACTTCTGCCAGTGAAGGGGGGTCACGATGGGAAAGAAGTGGTTACGCAGGGTGGGATTGAGCATTATGGTCTGTGGACCCGCAGCAAGAGCAGACATGAGAGAACATGCACCCGGAGGGAGGATTGGTGCACCTGTCATATACCATATATCCGGTTACAGATCCGATGATCTGGATCTCAGATCCGATCCAGATCCGATGAACATATCCGTCGTCCGGTCCACAGATCCGCTTTGATTCTTATTTCATTTCCTGTTCATATAACTCTAACTATCGTTCATCTCCTTTCGGTATTCCTGTACACCGGTATACCGGTTATCCTTTACTTGCGCTTTGCTTACTTCCGCTTTGCTTACTTCCGCTTTGCTTACTTATCCGCTATGCTTACTGATCCGCTACACTTACGAATCCGCTTTTTACTTGTACTTCATTCCCGGTTCATGATTCGTGATCCATCCAACTTACCAATACGCTCCACTTAGACTTTGCTTATGGATCATTCCGTTAGCTATCCGTAGTATAAAAACCTTTGTATATGCGCTGTAGTAGATCAGTTCGAATATCATCTTAGATTGCACTCATTCCGTCTGGACTCTGAGTCCCTCCGTTATCCATCCGGACTTGAGTACGCTACTCTTGTCTACTCCGAGACTTAGGATAGATTCCTATAGTCTACATATCCGCCTCTGTCTTCGGACAGTCCTCAACCCGTTAGTTTCTAGTCCGGATCCGATCCGGATTGGCCGTTACTCTATATACGCGATACTTTAGCTCTCTGAAATAAGGGGCAAGACTCGGGAAAGGGGCACAGCGCACGAGCTGAGGCCGAAGCCCTTCGGATCCGATACTACTTGAGTACGGTCTTAACAGCACCCCTTGGAGCCGTTGAAGAAGAAGCAAACTGAGATGTTGCCAGGACCCTTCCAGGCACCTTGAGCATCTTTGACGAGCCAGCTGTTGTCAACAGAAGGGCATTCTTTGGGGCAGTGGAGCTCCCCGCAGAACCAGCAGAGGGACGTGATGCAAAAGGAAGAAGAGGTGGGCTTATCCCTGGAGTCTGCAGCAGCCTCCCTCCAAAAGGAGGTTTGGGCAGGATGAGGGTGCTTTCTTGAGGGAGCAGAGGATGGGGAGGCAGAAGGGTGGGCTGGAGCAGCCAGAGGCTTGCTCACAGAGGTGCTGGAGCTCATGTGGACCATCATATGGTCGAACTTCACCATGTGTTCCTCGTGCTGCTGATCAAGGATGGACTGCCACACACGGACCTGGAAGACACTGGGGTCGAAGTCACCAGAGTGTTTAGGGAAGGCCATGTGAAGGGACTCGTCATAGATTAGGTATGTGGCAAAGGCCGAGTATACATTGGGGTGGCCAAAGATCAGGTCATGGTGCTTCTGCCAGGAGGCAGTGATGGCAATGCGGTCAGGAGAGGTAAGGTAGGAGGAGATGAGCAGGACGAGGTTCTGAGATGCCTCACGGAAGTTGGCAAAGGACAGGCTGCATTCCATAGCACAAGACTCTGCCTCAGTGCGCTTGACCAGCAGGTCAGTGGAAGGACAGAGCTCAAATAAAGGGAAGTATGAGCGCCAGCCTGACTCCATGATATCGATGTGCTTGGCATGGTGGCCAACAGCACGGGGGTCGAGGAGAGTGCCCTGAACCGGAGCTTGGTGGGATTGCAGAGCACGAGAAATGTGACTCTGAGCCAGAGCATATGGCATGAGAGGTGGGAAGTCACGCAGGTAACCATCTGCGAATGCAGTTAGAACAGGACAGCAGGTGGTGCGAAGGCAGCAAAGAATAATGGGGGTGGAGCAAAGGCCCCAGAAA